TGAATAATAATAAAAAAGGGAACCACTGACCTTGATAGTATCAAAATTCTACGGGAGTATTGCGTAACATTTCACAAAATCGGCAAAGCTGTCTGTCCACGCCTCGGCAGGAATCCGTAGTAGATTATGAGTAGGTGATGTAATATGTAATTATTTTTCTTCTTAAATTATACAGTACAGGGAATAATGCAATAACCTAACTGCACAGTGTAATCCTATCACCTAATGGTATGAACATACACTAAATAGTTATGTTCAGTCACTAACTAGTAAATCGACGACAAAGTTCAACTTGCTAAAGCTTACCCATCCATAGGCTGGTTGATAAATGAATGCGTAGAATGAATGCATAAAATATGTTTTTTTTTTTCTAACTGAAATGCTAGAGGAGTGAATCACGTTATATTTTATATTTAGAGAGAAATATAATACACCGTTATGATTATGCCATATGCATTGAAGCCTGTAAAAAGTAAAGGTCTATGTTAAACTCAACGTTTTAATAATGACTGCTTAATCGAGGCAGTTAGTAAGATGCAATTTATGGACACTGATTTTGAACTACCTAGTTCTAAGGTTCTAGAATTCTTACACACGTTGATAAGATATTTTACAATTTTACCAAAACACTAAATGCTAAAAAAAAAGAATAAATAAGTCTCGGGAACTAAATAACTAAACTGATTCCACAGTTATGAACAGTTATTCAAGTCTATGTTGCTCAGGTACTTTTAACGTTATTGTTAAGCTCTACTTGTAAGTATCGATGAACTTATGGCACCTATGAAGTTTGAAAGAAAACAAATGTAAAATCCGGATCTCCAATAAAAAACAACTCTGAGGATGGTAAAATTGGGATTTTTGGTTGTGAAAAATTATACATTTTATATGGGTTATTTTGCGTTTGCTATAAATAGACTGAGAAGAGAATGTCAAGGTTAACAGTAGTCTACGTTTTCAACCATATATTTATCTAACAGGTTTTTTAATGTAAGAGGCGGTCCTTTCTAAATCCCTCTCACTCCCTCTTCCTTTCTCTCTCTCTCTATCTGTCTTTCTCTATCTCTCCCTCTCTCCCTTCTCTCTCTGTCTCTCTCTCTTTTCCTCTCCCTCTATCTCTCGCTTTCTCTCCCTCCCTACCTCCCCCTCACTCTCTCTCTCTCCCTCTCTATACATCTCTCTCTCTCACTATATCCCTCCATCCTTTCTCTCTTCCTCCCTCACCTTCTTTCTTCCCTTCTTTCTCTTCTCTCCCCATTTTTATATGCCCTCGTCTCTTTCCCGCGAATAACGGCAATTTCTGTTCTCGGCACGAACGGCAGCCGCCAGGCAGCGCGTCCTCGGCTGAAGATGCCTCTGCTGTCGTCACTTCCTCGGCTCTTCCTTTGTCCGAAATCACGAACTAGGTTTTACTTTCCCTTTTTTTATTTTGTTTTATTTTATTAATTTATCTATATACTTTTATTTATTTATTCATTTATTTTGAATGAGTCATTCGTTTAACCTTTCACCCTTTACCTTCTTCGAAACTGCAGATGAAGCTGAAAAGCTTTTTTCCATTTTTTTTATATCTTGTTAATTGTCCGTATTATATGTCTTTGTATATATATGTATGTATGTATATCATATATATATGTATATATGTGTGCGTGTGTGCAATACTTAACATTTTCATTTTTTTGTGTTTAGTTATGCCATTAATTTTGAATTGGTGAGACGTGTGCAGGCTTTTTCACATGTCCAGTGAGTTTCAAATTGTAAATTATGTGAATTCTAACTATTGGATATTTAGGTTTAAATCATTTATCTCTTTTACATATTCAACTTCGGTTTGATGTTTTGTGTTAAATCTATCATTCAAAATTGCATAGAATTATTTTCTTTTTCAGGTTTATTATGGGAGGCAAATTCTGGCAACACTGCGTATTGACGCTCGCCCTTGTGAGTTATTATCAATATATATATATATATATATATATATATATGTGTGTGTGTGTGTGTGTGTGTGTGTGTGTGTGTGTGTGTGTGTGTGTGTGTGTGTATACCGTTTTATTTACTTCGACTATTTTTTTCTTATCTTCACACAAAAAAAAAAAAAAAATCTTTTCAATTTAAGTGTTAGAAGAATATTAATGTTATAGATTCTTCCTTTTGTTATTTTTCCTAATTTCCCGCTAATCATGTTCGTGGAATTGTTTTGTTTATAAGGATTAAGAAAATGTAGATTGTAAATTTGCCTTTCTTTTAGGTTGTTGTCATCGTTTACATAATGCTGTATTCATGACTGTTTTGGGTATCATTGTGGCCCGTCTTCTTGCCCTCCTGTTATCTTGTTCATCCTTTTAAATAAAAAACAATTTTTCATGTTGTGTACTCCATCTCATTGTTTTTTACTTACGATTTTATCTTTATCCTTTCTGCTCTTTCATTTAGCATTTATGCATTGTCATTTCTCAATCCCTCTCTCTCACACTATATATATATTACACACACATTCTCACTCATATATATCTATGTATATGTATATGGATATATATGACATACATATTTTATCTCCCTGTTTCTCTTCTCTCTCTCTGATGGACACATTCATCCTGTGTCCCTTCCTCCCTTCTCGCTTTCCACTTCGTCCTTTATCACCTCTCCCCCATCATTTGCCCCAAATCTATCGATTGCGCTATTCCTCGACTAATCCCCCCCCCTCCCCTCTCCCCTTCTCCCCCTCTTTCCACCGTGGGCGTGATAGGTGGTGGGCGCGTGTTGGGGCCACGGGCGGCTGGTGGAGCCCCCCTCGCGGGCGTCTGCCTGGAGATTCGGCTTTGATGTGCCCATCGACTACAATGACAACCAGGGCTTCTGCGGAGGGCGCGACGTGAGTGTTGAACATGCTCACGCTGATGATGGTCTGCTGACGGTCTTGATTAATACGAATACTAATTTATGCATCAGAGACACGTTGATAAACATAACGCCAGTGACAACAATGCTAATTTCAACTATTCAACAATAATTGGAACCAAACAATAGCATTAGCAATAGCAAAACCAAAGCAGAGCTAACACGATTCGCTCCCGCAGCACCAGCAGAATACCCAGGACGGGCGCTGCGGCATCTGCGGCGACGCGTGGGACGAGAACCCGCGGCCGCACGAGGCCGGCGGAATTTACGCCACCGGGACGATCGTGCGCATGTACACGAAGGGCCAGACGATCACCGCGCGCGTCAACATCACCAAGAACCACGGCGGCCACTTCGAGTTCCGCATCTGCCCCAACAACAACCCCAGCGTCGAGGCGTCGGAAACCTGCCTCGACGAGTGAGTCTCAGCGGCCGCACTTGGCGTTTCGCTTTTGTTTTACATGTCTTTATAGTTTCATTTAATAATCTATTTGGATAATGTTTTCATTTCGTACTTACAGAGTATTATAAATCGTCTTTGATCCTAATTGATGTTCTCTCTATGGTGTTACATTGTTTTTGACATTAGATTTATGTATTATGTATAATATAAGGACTTATATGATTAAACTCCTTTACCTCACCATTACACACATGCAGTGTGTAATGTTGCGTCCTTTCTTATCTCATCTCTCAGAATAATTGTAGTATTATATGTTCTCCAGATTTCATCCCAGACCTCAAATCTGTCAGTATTAAGTATATTCATTCAGTAACATGTATTGAGACTATACACAGTGTAATTGCCTCAATATTTCACACTGATCTTACATGTGTCCATCTTCCCTAAACGCACAAATAATAGTAGAACTAATTGAACTGAACTAAATTTATGTAGTAGACAAAGCATACCTAGCTGCGCAAACAATATTCAAAGTAACAGCCATTTGTAACCTCTCCCCCCTAAAAAAGATAAAACAACTATAATCAACATCAAATCACGTTCAAGTTCATGTGCTTACTCTGCCCCGCTGTCTTTAGGCACCGCCTGTTAAAGGCCGACGGCTCAGGCTTCAAGCACCAGATCAGCTCCATCACCGGAGTGCATGCGGTGCAGCTGCAGTTGCCCCAGGAGCTTACGTGCACCCAATGTGTCATGCAGGTACGGCAGGGCGTCGCCGTTCTATCTGCCTGTAAAGATACTAAGCTGTGTTTCTCCAGCTAATCCTAGAGCTATTCAAATGTCGCATGTTTATGGTCCCATTAATGCTAATCTGTTACATTTGCAATTAAACCGAATTTGCTTTTCCACAGTGGCGCTACGTGACAGGAAACCACTGGGGCGACTGCGGGAACGGCACCGGGGCGCTCGGATGCGGACCCCAAGAGGAGTTCCGCGCATGCGCTGACGTGGCGGTGGTTGCGCAGACAGGAGGGTAAATTTATAACAAAAAAATGTGCCCCCTGTGCATTTGGATATGAAATTGACAGCAGATTCATATAAAACTGATTTTTATAGATACAAACGTACACATGAACATACAGTATATCCGTGTATACATGTAGATATATATGTATATTTATATATACATATATATTCAAACATATATACATACATATACTTATAAATAAATATATATGTACACATATTTATAAAGATGTATTTATCTCTATATGTATCCACATACAAACAAGTGTGTATATACATATATATTCATATATACACACACATAGATATACATACATATATATGAATAAATATACATATATACACATATATGTATGTATACACATATGTATACAGATATACACAATATATATATACGTACAGATATACATGCAGTATAAATATATACACATATAAGTGCGTGTGTATGTGTATTCACTTATATACATACATATACACGCACAAGCATATATATATATTACATATAGTATGTGCATTATGTATGTATCCACATACATAGATAAATATAGGCGTGTTTATCTGTGTATATATACATATATACATATATCTACATATATATATATACACACATGTATACAAATATATAAATGTATATATGTACACATATGTATATCTATGCATATAGATATACATATATATACGGACATATATATTGGCGTATATATATGTACAGTTTATATATATGTAAACAGTATATTTATATGTATGTGTGTGCAAACACACACATTGTACGTGCGTATCTGCGTGAATATTTGTATCTATCTGTATGTATATATGTATCTTACACCCACAAGATATATATTTATACGTTCATAAACATGTATACGTATACAGCATATAAATATAAATATATGCATATATATATGCATTATATATGCACACACACGCACACAATATATATGTATAAATATGTGTGTGTTTATATATATGTATATAGATGTATACATGTATCTAAATGTATATTCAGAATTATATATTTATTCATACGCGTGTATATATATATATGTATATATATGCATCGGCGTAGGGGCATTTAAAATTTAGGGGGGGGGGGGCTGCAAAATTTCTGCCCGAGTGAGAGAGGAAGAGAAATTTCACCTGCCAGAAAATCTGTGATGAATGCCACCAGTGGCGTAGATAGAGAGGGTCGGGGGTGGCGAAAAACCCACCTATAAGGCTAAACTGCCATTTTGTCGGAAAATTTCTGCACTTGTCGGAAAAATAACGATGGTTATCTGTTTCGTTTAGTTATAGTGGCCTTATGTTATGTTCAGAATAATCACAAATGAGAATGTGTCAAATTTTTGTCGGGACATCTTCATTTCTCGCCCCCTCTATGAATTTTCGCATCTACGCCCCTGCCTAAAATTGCCCGAATTCAACCAGCATTTACCCGACTGGGGGTGCTGCAGCCCCCCCAGCCCCCCTGGCTCCTACGCCTATGTATATTTGCACGCACAGTATACCTGAGAGCCTGTAGAGCGTATATTACACATATTACACACACATATATATGTATATATATATATATATATTTATGAATATATTCATTCACACATATAGACATATATATTCATATATATACATGTGTGTATCTGTATCTATTTATATGTATGTGCATATGTATCTTACACACGCAATATATATGAATATATATTTACATTTATATATTCATATCCATATATACATAAATATACATACATACACAATACATTTATATATATTCAAATCCATATATCTATATATAAATCTATATACATACACATATATACATACATTTTATATATACACATATATGTTATATATTCACGCATAAATATGTTATACTATATATGCACAAACATAAATATATATATGTATGTATGTATGTATATATGTATATGTATACAAATATACATGTATATATATCCAAATGTATATATGTATATATATATGTATATACCTACCCACCCGTACAGAAAACATACGACACGTAGAGCACATTCCTGGCCCATGCTCATGAGCGCCGTGCTTCCCCAGGTTGGTGATTAACCCGATACCCAGCACAACGACCCCTCAGCCCGAGCCTGCGCCTACCGGTTGCAGACCCGTGGGCCCCTGGAATGACGTAGCCGGAATGCATGAATGGTGCGCCATTAACTGCCAGGACACGCCTCCCAACTGCCCTCCCACCTACTGCACGTGCGACTAACGACCCTTTCGACAGCGGGTCGCTATAATGGCGAGGCGGGAAACCCTTCACTAGTCAGGGGAAAGCGCTGCCCTAACTAGGGAAGGGCCAGTGGGAAAGTTCTCGCTCGCCACTACAATCACTCTTGAGGCTAAACGTGATGAAAACATGTCTGGAACAGCGACTCCGTCTACCATCTCACTCCAAGGAAATAATCGTGTTTTTGAGCTAAAGAGCTGGCATTTAGAAACGCTTGGAACTGTGCCATAGTTATTAGTCTTCTAAATGCCAGTGATGCATTTCTTGATTACTCTATTGCACGTGAATTTTAACTGTTATTTGCACTGTTTTTTGAGCAAAGTAAAATATTCAAATACCTCTTTTATTATCCTTCTGCTTTGCTTTGTGGTTGAAAAGAAATAGAAGTAAATGAATAATACACAGATATACGTGTGTACTTCTATGTAATAAATAGACAGTATACCATGGTACTACAAGGAAATGAACGTAGCTGCTGAAATTCTCTGTTGGTTTACTGTTACAATGAAATAGTTTTTGTCAGTCCATTAGTTTAGCTTTTATCTCCTCATGATGACTTAAGTCTCATTGACATTTCATTTTTTATAGAATTTAGAAGTTTACAAGAACGGTCATCTCCATGTAATTCTTCGTCTGATCGAGAAAAAGCCGCAAATCGTTATGCAAGTACTTAGTATATTTGTGCAATGGTTTTCTTCAGCTTGCTTATTCCCGACCAAAATAGTAGACGCGGAACGGAGTGAGCATATAATTAGTATTTTTGTCGACGCGTTCGTCTTAATATTCAACAGCGAAAAATTATAACATTCCCATTCCATTTAGTTATCAAGAAAGTGCATTTTAGTGATCATGCAATTTGACAATTAAGTTGTGGATATTACATCAGAGAGTTGCATTAATTCAATGCTACACAGCCTAATTTATAAAGTAAAATATAACTTGTATATTAAGGTATGGAAGCTACATATGTTCGTAAAATGAATGCAATAATAATAATGATGATAATGATGCTCTTGATGATGCATTTTGCTAGAGGTCTCCTGGACCAAGACCAAGATCCAGGATTTGGGGGGCCTACTAGGAGACCCTGTGCAGTCGGTACGTGCTTGCGGTGAAACATCGAAGTCACAGAGTTTTATATACCTCGGCAGTGCAGTTCACAACTCTGGGCTGTCAGACTAGGAAGTCAGTAGACGGATTGGCCTGGCAGAGGTCATGAAATCTCTCGACAAAAGTATTTGGAGATGCCGGTACCTGTGCAGAAGGAGCAAGCTACGTGTTTTCAAGGCCCTGATAACAAGCACCTGCAGACGTCTACATTAACTTTCCCACAGACACACGCAGCCACACGCACATAAATCTACCCACCCACAGACACGCAAAGACACACAGCCGAGTCTCGTGTTCCACCATCACCAAAAAGCCTGGATTCGTTTCCCAATTCCACAGCAACAAAAGCAGACGGAACCGCTATGCTGCCATTGACAACAGAACAAGCAGACGAGACGAAACTACATTAGTGGGAAACAAAGGCTTTGGGTATGGGTGGCGGCGACGTGTATGTTTCCCTCTCTCCCTCTCGCACTTCTCACCTTTTCTTGCCTCCTTGTCTCATTCACTCTCTTACCTTCTTGCTCTTCTCCTTTGTTTCTTCTCCATTTTAATAATTTCATCTTCCCTATTTTCTTTTCTCCCTTCTCTCTCTTATATCCTCCTTCCCACTTTCCTTTTCTGACATCCCCCTTTCCTTTCCCCCTCACCCTCCCTCCCTTACCATCCCTTCTCCATTTCTTTTTTTTTCCATTTCTCCCATCATAATTTCCTTCCTCCCTCCCTTTCCCACCATTCTTTCCTTCCTCACCTCTTTTCTCCCTCCTCCACCATCCTTTCATTCCTCCCTCATTTCCCTCCCTCCCCCGTCATTCCTCCCTCCCTTTCCCTCCATCCTTCCTTTCCTCCCTTCCTTTCCTCCAGCCCGTCAATTTCCCTCTTTCATGAAACTAAAGAATCAGAGATGAGATGAGCAGAATTTCCCTTCATTTCCAGCACCTCTCGCTCTTTCTCTTCGTCTCTCTCTCCACTTTTTTCTCTCGCTCATTCTGTCCCTTTATTCGCTTGAATGAGTATGTCTCGGTAATGGTTCCTTTGAAGTTTCTTTTTGGCTGTAGTTATAAAACTTCATCGTGAAAGTTTTATAAATAAAATCCATACGACTCTATATGTATTTTTATGCATACGCGAACATATATATGCATGTTTGTATGTATATGTATTCATTTATATACATACATACATATATACACATATTTATATATACATATATTTACATATATACATGCATATATACATATAACTTGATTCATTATCATCAAATTTGTTGGTTCTCTGCCTTACAAAAAAGAAATATCCAAAATGTAATTCATATATGTAGTACATACAATTCACACACGTAGACTGTGTGCGAAAGTAATTGGAAATATATCTTGATTTCGCTATTGTATTTTATCTATTCATTCTTCAATAGGTTGACAGGGCAGATACATAACTTGTGATACATAGGACATAATTCGTGGCATGAAAAATTGAGTTGTTCTAATGATTTATACTGGTTCATCATATAACTTATTGTTTTAGGGGGTCGAAAACACAATACAGGAAATGTAAAATGTAGAAATATTTGTTGGAATATAGCAGTAAATATAGGGAAAAGGTAGCTTTTAGTCTGATGCAACTTTTCAATTGTTGCTAGCAGCTGACATTTGGTTCAAAGAGTATAAAAATATGTCAAAGGGTTTAAAGGTTCAGAAGCCACCAATGAGTGCCTGGGCTAAGGGGGAGTTGTCATGTCATGGTCACAGCCAAGCGCCCACGTTGTCCTGGTTAGTGCTACAATAAGTTCTATAGAGGCAGTAGTACCCAAGCTCTATATACTTATATAGAACTTCGTAACAACCTCTTAGCGGTCCAGGATATCTTAGAAAACTGAGATTCAAAACACTCGTCAGTTTTTTTGTGTAGACATTAGAGCAAACAGTTGTCAAGGAGCAGTTTAATTACCTGATCACTGCATGGTGTGCTATAGGAGTTGCAGTTTTATAATTAATGCTATTATTACTATGAATAACATCTCTGTAATTGCCAAGAGGGGGTACATGCAGGCACCCTATAAGGAACCATTCAAGATGACGTATTCTTCATCCAGTTATATGATTTTGTAATCGTTTCGTGCTTCATTTCGGTCTCCCAAGCTAGCTCCTCTCGTTTTCGGTTTAGCCATTGTGATTCGTTAGAGCGTAGACTATTTTCATCATTATCATTGCTATTATCATAATCATTAGTATTATCATTACTATTGTTTTCAAGTTTGATTTTCTCTGATAACAATTTTCTAAGTGGATAATTATAAGGTATTCGCATATATATAACAATGTACTACTTGTATATGGAGGCCTATCCAGGTAGTTCCAATTTTACGTATTTTGTAGATATTTTTCATGAATCAGGAGGAGGAGTCAAGTGAAAGACTAGTAGCTCGGGACTTTGGAGCCTTCGGAGATTGGTCAAACTATATCATATGATAAAGGTTTGTGTTGAATTCCCACACTGCCCTCCAAGACCACAACAGGTGTAGTTTTTGCAGGCAAGTAAAAGGTTCTGTTACTTTTTGCTTAAATTATTTCAATTACTTTGTAGTTGATAATCTATTTGGAAATATATCTATAAGTGTTACTGTAGTCTATACACTATATGATTGTGTTATATTATAAGAAAAGTTGATATTTTCAATATAGTATGCCGGATGGCTTTGATATTTGTAATTTGAATTGTTCAATTTCTTTCAAGTTGATGACTTATTTTGAATTAAGTCGATGTAAGTGCAGTAATTCATATGGGAATTATTTTTGTTTGAGCTCTATGATATCAACGGTCTTGTATGTTAAGTTGCAAATATTTGCTTTGCATTCAGTTACTTTAATGCTAGGTATTAAGTGTGAAAAAATAGAGTAATTCGTTTTTTAATATTAATACAACTTTAATAATCTGTTGTTTTAGCCCTATGTTAATAATTTCCAAGTTGGTTTCGTAATAAGTAAACCACAGACAGCAGCTCACTGTTATCTCCGTATTAAATTGACAAACACCTAAGAATAACCGACTTCGACAGCCTCACGGATAAATGAGCACATGATACATGAATTACGTCTCGTCGGCGCTTGGGAAAAGTTAAACATGCTTCAGGCAGTTAGTATATGTATGCACTTTGGAACAGACCCCATATTGATTGCATCTTCATAAAAAGGGCCTAGATTCTCTCCGGAGAACTATCACGCATTTTAATACTTGTACGTACCACAGGATTTTTTTTTTTTAATCCACTGAAACGGGAAGAGGAAGCCGTGGCAATGATGCTCAGTTATACTCCCAGAATATAGAGACTTCAATGGTCGCATCCATATAATAGATATATAATATAATAATAATAATAATAAATTATTATCATTATTGTCATTATTATTACCATTATTATAAGCATCAATATTATCATTATCATTATTATCTTTATTATCATCATCATTATTATTATTGTATTCATATTACAAATAAACATATGTAGCTTCCATACCTTAATATACACGTTATATTTTACATTATAATTTAGGCTGTGTAGCATTGAATTAATGCAACTCTCTGATGTAATATCCACAACTTAATTGTCAAATTACATGATCACTAAAATACACTTTCTTGATGACTAAATGGAATGGGAATGTTATACTTTTTCGCTGTTGAATATTAAGACGAACGCGTCGACAAAAACACTAATTATATGCTCACTCCGTTCCGCGTCTACTATTTTGGTCGGGAATAAGCAAGCTGAAGAAAACCATTGCACAAATATACTAAGTACTTGTATAAAGATTTGCCGCTTTTTCTCGATCAGATGAAGAATTACATTGAGATGACCGTCCTTGTAAACCTCGAGGTGAATTCTAGAAAAAATGAAATGTCAGTGTCATCATGAGAAGATAAAAGGTAAACGAATGGATCGATAAAAAACAGTTTCATTCTAACTGTAAACCAACATAGAAATTCAACAGCTCGAAACGATGGATATCAGCGTCCATTTCCTTGTAGTGCCATAATGCATCGTATATCTGTGTATTATTGATTTACTTTACTTTTTTCTACAACAAAGCAAAGTGAAAGGATAATAAAAGAGGTGATTAATTTTTTTTTTTTTTTTTTTTTTTTTTTTTGCCCAAAAAACAGTGCAGATAAACAGTTAAAATTCACTCGGCATACATAAATATCTGAACCCAAAGTCAACACTTGC